ACCACTTGTTTGTTGCACAGTCGATGTGCAATAACCTGGTGGATACTTAAGTAAGTAGTCTCTGCATATATTAGTAGTCATCCCATGAATAATTGAACTAAGGACGGTACATCAAATACGAACAACGTTTGTAGTGTAAATTTTAGATGAAACTATCCTGTTCCCACGGGCTTCAAGAAGCAAGGATATTTATATAAAAAAATATATATAAACCACAAGTAGCTTCGTAAATATGGTTAAACGTATACACAATAAAAGGTTTGTTTGTTTTTTAATTTCGCGCAAAGCTACACGAGGGCTGTCTGCACTAGCCGTCCATAATTTAGCAGTGTAAGACTAGAGGGAAGGCAGCTAGTCATCACCACCCACCGCCAACTCTTGGGCTACTCTTTTACCAACGAATAATGGGATTGACCGTCATATTATAACGCCCCCACGGCTGAAAGGGCGAGCATGTTTGGTGTGACGGGGATTCGAACCCGCGACCTTCAGATTGGGTCAGAATTGGTTCTGTATGTTTGAAATGAGATCGTCTCTTAGCATATTGAATAATAGTTTGCACAATTTCTGCTGTATTTTTAGTTTTGTTTTTATGACATTTAGCGGAATTTAGACTTCACTACTACATGTCAGTAAATATCATGATGTTTGAAGGAGCTCTTTCTGTGTGCTATTTGAAAGCATTATTTCACAAAGCAGGTTTCAAAACTGCTCACGTTTCTTTTTCGTGAACCTTCAGTTATTTAATCGTTATTTCTATGTAGCTAAAGAAATAGAATAGAGAGTTTCTTCCGTATAATTAAGAGTTAATCTTACGACATGCGCGACTCAACACTGGAGACAATAATGATCGTCACACTCCTCGTGCGTCAGTGTACGTGTGTTAATTAATTTAAAAAAAAAAAAAAACTTGCAGGCAAGCTTGAATGAGCATCATTTATAAGCGCCAGATTCATGTTTTGACAGCTACACACAGTTATAATTACCTACTGAATTGATAGCAATGTTCATTAGAACGCTCGGCTTGAAATAATTTATTTGAAAATATCGAAACGCATGCATAGCGGTCAAGATACAAAAAAAAATTAGGCCATGTTTTCTGTGAGAGGTTAACGTTGGATTAAAAGTAGCCGTTCTAAAAGTTCTTTATTAAATGAAAGTAGAAGAGAAAAATAAGACTTTCCAATAATGGAGTGTCAATAGTTCGAGTCATAAAAGTTTGGTGTCATTCAATTAATATTAAAATTTGTGTGTAAATAAATTCATAAACCGTTTCGCTACGCACAAAATTGCGAAAAAAAAATGCTTAAAAAGACAGTATGTTATGTATTATTATCTATCTATTTAATCATCTACCTAAAACGGTAGGATACAAACATCATTTTAGCCACTAAACCCGACTTCACTCTTTAGCCCATGGTACACGTTTTTATAACATTTCTGGAGAGCCATCAGCCTGAAAGTGACAGCCCTTTAAAGTTACCGAAAGCTTCTGTTATTAGGGTAGAGTAATCGGATTGACATTTCATTCCAGTTGACCACACTTCTATAGCTAATAGTATACAGGCGTCACATGAGTGAGACTCTGAAAATGAAATTGCTTTTATCACCTTGGGGGAAATATTACTTTGTTTAATTTCAGTAATCTGAACATGAGAACATAGCTTCTATATAGCCTTACTTTCATGCACATAACAACTGGACATACGAGCAGAGTTATTGTGCACGAATATTATCAGTTTCTGCTTTCACACCTGTAATATTATTACCAGTCATTTGTTATATCACTTGTACTAGTATAAAATTGATATCAGCTATCTTTTATGTCATGTTACAAGGTTGTTTAAAGCTTTCTCTGGTATCACTTCTACTACTATAAGATTGTTAACAGCTATATCTTGTATCTTTTATTAGCACAAAATTGTCACCAACTATCTATTGTATCACTTGTATTAGGTAACAAATGCTACCGGCTACCTCTTATCTCATTTGTTATTTTACAAGTTATCTCTGACTAACTCGTATTAGTATAAAATTGTTACCATCTATCTTACATATTTCTTGTGTTTGTTCAAGATTGATATCAGTTGTTTTTCGTATTAATTATATTAGTGTGTTACTCTAAGTATTTTATTTTGTTCTTAGAGCAAATGTTTTCTTTAATCTAATGCAATATTGTTGCCAATTTCTCATATTTCGTGTGCGACATTTTATATAAAAACAAACTACTAAGTTATGAGGAGGGACTAGAAACAGCAATAAATTCCTGACGTTTTCACGCACAAAATATATTTCTACAAAAAGCAGCTGAAAAAAATAACCTTTCAATTATCACTTATTTATCGTTTGAAAATGTCACCCAGTGGTATATTCATCAGTTGGATGTCACAAAAATTAAATAAAACAATAAATCACTTATAAGTAATCATATATTCCCTTTGGATCGCGAGCCTAAAGAAAATCATACTCTTCAAACATTAACCAATTGTATAGCTAGCTAACCAAGTAGATTCGCAACTTGGGTGTACTTTCGTTTGTGCTTACGTGCATGCATGACGAAGTAAATCCGCCCGAAACGCTGGGTTAATCATCTATTTGTGAGACAGTTCTCTTCCCACCGTTTCTTGAAGTTGAAAGAGAACACCCATGTCAACACAATGTATAGACGAACTCGAAAGGACCTTGCATCGCGTAGCAATTAATTACTGATGCCTCAGTTGACGAAAAGTAGCCTTTTTTTGGCACATTAGCATCCGGGATTAAAAGTAGATAACATATCCAAAACATCTAAACATAATACTGAAGACTTATATTTACAAAATAATCTTATAGTAACTGAACCATATTATTGTATTATTTATACTTTTATAAATTCTGGTTCCTTACATGTTTAAAGATAGGATAAAGTATGTTAAAAAGGGCTATCTTTTTTTTCTTTTTTTAAACTACCTCTTCGCGGCCCGGCATGGCCAGGTGGATAAGGCGCTCGACTCACAATCTGAGGGTCGCGGGTT